TAATATCTGTTCTGCTGACATATAAGAAATTAGGTGCTTCGTGGGTGCCCCTGTCTCGCAGACAAAATGGGGTAATCTAATTATACTCTGCTCTCTGTAAATGTTAAAAGGATAAGGAACTACCTCGTTCGGTTCCCTTACAGAGAGCATCGCTTGACATGGCTCCGCAAGCCCTGCGAAGATTGTTAAGTGATCCTCCAAAGCTTGTACTTGCTTAAATAAACTGTGGCTATTCACAGAAGTTGGCGTATTGCATTTGTATCAAGTGCGTAGGAATCTCCTAAAAGGGAACTCAACAACCCGAGATCATGCTGTAAATTCTATATTGTTGGGTAGATGCCAGTATTGCAACTATACTGAAAACAGCTTAGCTAAGGACACAGCTTGTTCTGGAGCAAACATCCTCAGTGTTACCAGGATGACCATAATGTTTGCTGCATCCAATGCACTATCACTTCAAGACATCAAGTACAGCAAAAGAAGTCATTTGAAAATGAGCATCTATGATGTCAGGTCCACCCAGCACAGCTTACAGTGTGAAGCTTATGCTATTGTGTACGATGTAAGGCAACTCAGGTTATATATTTTCATTTGCTATATTGCTGGAATGAGTGAATATCCTTCAAAATATTTCCTCTCCTTACAGGTCTTCAAATTACAAAACAAAAAGCTTCAGGTTTCTTATGAATATACAGCAAACTTTGTTTGAACCAGCATCTAATGAACCGGCACTCTCAGTAAACTGGCAAAAATTATATCCCCGAAATAAGAACATAAGAACTAGGAGCACGAGTAGGCCGTCCGGCCTCTCAAGCCTGCCTCGCCATTTAATAAGATCATGGCTGATCTTTTTGAGACTCATCTCCACTTACCCGCCCACTCACCATAACCCTTAATTCCTTTACTGTTCAAAAATTTATCTAGCCTTGCCTTAAAAACATTCAGTGAGGTAGCTTCAACAGCTTCACTGGGCAGGGAATTCCACAGATTCACAACTCTTTGGGTGAAGAAGTACCTCCTGACCTCAGTCTTACATCTGCTTCCCTTTACTTTGAGGCGATGCCCTCTACTCCTAGTTTCACCTGCTGGCGGAAACAACCTCCCTGACTCCACTTTATCTATTCCCTTCATAATCTTATATGTTTCTATAAAATCTCCCCTCATTCTTCTGAATTCCAATGAGTGTAATCCCAGTCTACTCAGTGTCTCCTCATAATCCAACCCTCTCAACTCTGGAATCAACCGAGTGAATCTCCTCTGCACCCCCTCCAGTGCTAGTATATCTCTTCTCAAGTAAGGAGACCAAAACTGCACACAGTACTCCAGGTGTGGCCTCACCAGGACCCTATACAGCTGCAGCATAGCCTCCCTGTTTTTAAACTCCATCCCTCTAGCAATGGCAGACAAAATTCCATTTGCCTTTTTAATTACCTGCTGCACCTGCAATCCCACCTTCAGCGATTCATGCACAAGGACACCCAAGTCCCTCTGCACAGCAGCGTGCTGCAATTTTTTACCATTTAAAACGTAGTCCATTTCGCTGTTATTCCTATCAAAATGGATGACCTCACACTTACCAACATTGTACTCCATCTGCCAGATCTTTGCCCACTCACTTAGACTATCTATATCCCTCTGCAGACTTTCAGTGTCTTCTGCACACTTTGCTCTACCACTCACCTTAGTGTCATCTGCAAATTTTGACACACCACACTTAGTCCCCAACTCCCAATCATCTATGTAAATTGTAAACAATTTAGATCCCAACACTGATCCCTGAGGCACACCACTAGCCACTGACCGCCAACCAGAAAAACACCTATTTACCCCTACTCTTTGCTTTCTACTGGTCAACCAATCATCTATCCATGCCAATACATTACCTGTAATACCGTGCAACTTTATCTTATGTAGCAGCCTTTGGTGTGGCACCTTGTCAAATGCCTTCTGGAAATCCAGATACACCACATCCACAGGTTCCCCATTGTCCATCATGCAAGTAATGTCCTCAAAGAATTCCACCAAATTAGTTATACATGACCTACCCTTCATGAACCCATGCTGGGTGTTTCCAATGGGACAGTTTATATCCAGATGTCATGCTATTTCTTCCTTAATGATAGATTCAAGCATTTTCCCCACTACCAAAATTAAGCTAACTGGCCTATAGTTAGAGATAGTAGGAACTGCAGATGCTGGAGAATCCGAGACAACAAGGTGCAGAGCTGGATAAACACAGCAGGCCAATCAGCATCAGAGGAGCAGAAAGGCTGATGTTTCGGGCCTAGACCCTTCATCAGAAATGGGGGAGGGGAAGGGGGTTCTGAAATAAATAGGGAGAGAGTGGGAGATGGATAGAAGATGGATAGAGGAGAGGATGGGTGGAGAGGAAACAAACAGGTCGAAGAGGCGGGGATGGAGCCAGTAAAGGTGAGTGTAGGTGGGGAGTTAGGGAGGGGATAGGTCAGTCCAGGGAGGATGGACAGGTCAAGGGGGTGGGATGCGGTTAGTAGGTAGGAGATGGGGGTGCGGCTTGAGGTGGGAGGAGGGGATAGGTGGGAGGAAGAACAGGTTGGGGAGGCAGGGACGAGCTGGACTGGTTTTGGGATGCGGTAGGGGGAGGGGAGATTTTGAAGCTTGTGAAATCCACATTGATACCATTGGGCTGCAGAGTTCCCAAGCAGTATATGAGTTGCCGTTCCTGCAACCTTCGGGTGGCATCGTTGTGGCACTGCAGGAGGCCCAGGATGGACATGTCATCTGAGGAATGGGAGGGGGAGTTGAAATGGTTCGCGACTGGGAGGTTCAGTTGTTTATTGCGAACCGAGCGTAGGTGTTCTGCAAAGCGGTCCCCGAGCCTCCGCTTGGTTTCCCCGATGTAGAGGAGGCCACAACGGGTACAGCAGATGTAGTATACTACATTGGCAGATGTGCAGGTGTTCTCCCCTCCCCCTACCGCATCCCAAAACCAGTCCAGCTCGTCCCTGCCTCCCTAACCTGTTCTTCCTCCCACCTATCCCCTCCTCCCACCTCAAGCCCCACCCCCATCTCCTACCTACTAACCTCATCCCGCCCCCTTGACCTGTCCGTCCTCCCTGGACTGACCTATCCCCTCCCTAACTCCCCACCTACACTCACCTTTACTGGCTCCATCCCCGCCTCTTCGACCTGTTTGTTTCCTCTCTACCTATCCTCTCCTCTATCCATCTCCCACTCTCTCCCTATTTATTTCAGAACCCCCTTCCCCTCCCCCATTTCTGATGAGGGGTCTAGACCCGAAACTTCAGCCTTTCTGCTCCTATGATGCTGCTTGGCCTATAGTTACCTGCTTTTTGTCTACTTCCTTTTTTAAACAGTCATGTCACATTGGCTGTTTTCCAATCTGCAGGAACCACCCCAGAATCCAGTGAATTTTGGTAAATAATTACTCGTGCATTTGCTATTTTCCCCATCACCTCTTTTAGTACTGTGGGATGCATTTCATCAGGTCCAGGAGACTTGTCTACCTTTAGCCCCATTAGCTTGCCCAGCACTGCCTCCTTAGTGATAATGATAGTTTCTAGGTCCTCACCTGCTATAACCTTCTTGCCATTAGTTTTCGGCATGTTATTTGCGTCTTCCACTGTGAAGACCGACACGAAATAACTGTTTAATGTCTCGGCTATTTCCTCATTCCCAGTTATTAAACTGGCCTTCTCATCCTCTAAAGGACCAATGTTTATCTTCGCCACTCTTTTACGATTTACATATTTATAGAAACTTTTGCTGCCTGTTTTTATATTCTGAGCTAGTTTACTCTCATAACCTATCTTACTTTTCTTTATAACTTTTTTTTGTGGCTTTCTGTTGGCCTTTAAAGATTTCCCAGTCTGGTAGTTTCCCACTACTCTTTGTTTTTTTGTATATGTTTTTTTTCAATCTGATACTTTCCTTTATTTCCTTAGACATCCATGGCTGGCTCTCTCTTTTCCTACAGTTCTTCCTTATCACTGGAATATACTTCTGCTGAGCACTGTGAAAAATTGTTTTGAAAGTCCTCCACTGTTCCTCAATTGACCCACCATAAAGTTTTTGCTCCCATTCTACCTTAGCTAACTCCTCCCTCATTCCTTCATAGTCTCCTTTGTTTTAGCACAGGACATAGGTACTGGATTTAACCTTCTCACACTCCATCTGTATTTTAAATTCGACCATACTGTGATCGCTCCTTCCAAGAGGATCCCTAACTGTGAGATCATTAATTATTCCTGTCTCATTACACAGGACTAGATCTAGGATAGCTTGCTCCCTCGTAGGTTCCATTACATATTGTTCAAGGAAATTATCGCGGATGCATTCTATGAACCCCTCCTCAAGGCTGCCATGACCGACCTGGTTTGACCAATCGATATGTAGATTAAAATCCCCCATGATAATTGCTGTACCATTTTTACATGCATAAGCTATTTCTATGTTTATTGCCCGCCCCACCACGATGTCATTATTTGGTGGCCTTGAGACCACACCTATCAGTGACTTCTTCTCCCTGCTATTCCTAATTTCCACCCAAATGGATTCAACGTTTTGTTCAGTAGAACCTATATCATCTCTCACTACCGCCCTGATATCATCCTTAAAAATCAGAGCAACACCACCTCCCTTACCTTCCTGTCTGTCCTTCTGAACAGTTTGATACCCCTCGATATTTAACTCCCAGTCATGACCATCCTGTAACCATGTCTCTGTAATGGCCACTAAATCATACCCATTTGCCATGATTTGCACCGTCAACTCATCCACCTTGTTTCAAATGCTCCAAGCATTCAGATAAAGTGCCCTTATGCCAGTTTTTGCACCTTCTTTTTGGGTCCTATTACCTCCATTACTAACAGCTCTTGAGTTCTCCTTCCCTTTAATTTTTTTCCTAATTTTCAATAGCAGAACTTTACTGTATTATCACAATCTCCACAATATCTGAGTAGTGAGTTGAAGGATGCAAGTGAGATGGTTCTCTGCTTCTAAGTTTTATTTATTATCTAAGTGATTCGTGCTGTAAATAAAGTAGAACAGGGATATGTATACCCCCCACATTACATTTCTATTTGTGAGTGTTTTTACATTGATTACGTGGACCTCTTGATCAACCAGAATATTCAATCAACTGGTACACTCCTGGTCCCAAAGGTGTCAATTAATAAAATGTTTGCTATATTACTAATGAGAAAGTAAAACTAAAACAGGAAATTGTTATTTATATACAAAAAAAATTAACAAGTTTGCAATTGAATCTGCATTAAACAGAGATTCATCTCTTAAGGATCTATTTTGAGGTAAAGTCTCATACAACATGCCACAAAACATGACAAAACATCACAAACATGAGCAACATCACTTGACATCCGATATTCAGTGACCTCATGACATGAAGATCTGCTACTGAGGAAGAGTCCTGTCAAGTGCAAACAGCATCAATGAACATGCTCCGACTACAGCTTTTTAGGTACATTAGTGATAATGGGTTTTGGACGGGTTTTGAAAATGATCTTTTTCTTGATGATCGAGGTGACCAGGTAGTGACATGAATTGCTTTCTTCACTCACTTCTTGTTCGGTTACTTCCGTTTGCATCAGTCTCTCAGCTCCTGCCCTTGTACCAGTCTGTTTCACCAGCACTACAAATGGTCTTTCCAAGTGGGTGATTTTACCATAAAGGATGTGGTGGCCAACTAGAAGTATTGGGACTCCCTGGGAATGGGAAAGAGGAAAATAAATGTATCAGAAATTACTCAATCCAGAAAATACCAGAGTAAGACAATTTTATTAACTCTCAATATCAAGTACGGTTAGATATAGCCCCATAGCAAAGATGGAAACAAACAAACAGGAACATTCTGGGCAATTGCCAAACATAGTCAGGTACAACACTGAACTACTCACACTTAGTAGGGACAGAGTACTTAAGCATGCAGAGAAGTTTTCTTTTGCAACTGTTCACAGGACTATGGGTGCCCTGGCTAGGTACAGGAATAAGGATGTCTTGCTTCAATTATACAGAGCATTGGTGAGGTATTACTTAAACATTGTATGCAGTTTTGGTCTCCTTATCTGAGGAAGGATGTTCTTGCTATAGAGCGAGTGCAGTGAAGATTTGCCAAATTGATTCCTGGGGTGGCAGGAGTGATGTACAAGGAGAGGTTGAATTGAATAGAACTGTATTCACTGAAGATTAGAAGAATGAGAGGGGATTCCATAGAAACCTATAATATATTAAGACGACCAGACAGGTTAGATGCAGGAGGATGTCCCTGATGGTAGGGGCATCCAGAACCAGGGGTTACAGCAAACCTTTTAGGAGTGGGATGAGGAGAAATTTCTTCACCCAGAGAGTGGTGAGCATGTGGAATTTACTACCACAGAGAGTAGTTGAAGTCAAAACACGTGTTTTCAAGAAGTACATACAGGTCATGTGGCTAAAGGGATCAAAGGATATGGGGGAAAGGCAGGATTAGGGTATTAAGCTTGATGATCAGCCACGATCATAATGACTGGCAAAGCATGCTTGAAGGGGCCCAATGGCCTACTCCTGCTCTTATATTCTTTGTTTCAATTCCTAATTGCCTTTGAAAAAGTGGTTATGAGCAGGCGGTTAGGAAGGCAGGGCCAAGACTTTAACTCAATAACAGTGAGGGCATGATGATATAATTCCAAATCACAATGGTGCGTGGCCTGGAGGGGAACTTGCAGATAGTGGTGTTCCTTTGCATTTCCTCTCCCTGTCCTCCTACATGGTAGAGGTCATGAACTTAAAAGGCACTGTTTAACGAGTCTCAGTGAGTTGCTGCAGTGCATTTTGTAGATGGTATCCACCCCTGTTACTGTGTATCAATGATGGAGGGAGCAAATTTTGAAGTTGATGGAGGGGCCGACCATTAAATGGGCTGCTTTGTCCTGGATGGTGGTCAGCTTCTTCAGTGTGGTCGGAGCTGTACTGCTCCGATTCAGGATCTGGTCAATACTATCCGTTGGTCACAAAGCAATATGGACCTACTGAATGGGTGGGGAAAATTACAGCAGATGGAATTTGATTACTTTTGGTGATGGTACTGTCTTTCCTGCAGAGAAGTGTTGCCACAGTGGCGCTGGAATGTCTGCTTCAGAAGCAGTGGGTAAACAGCCTTGAACTCCAAGTTTTATTTTAATTAGACAAAAGAAGCATGAGTGGGTGGACTCAGGCTCACACAGACCCAGGGTTTTAGTTTTGCTTTCACTTGGGGTTTGGAGTTGGCTTTTGAAGTTGATGGATACAGCTTTCACTCTGCTGTAGCAAAAAAACTTGAGTCTTTACTGCTAGATTGTTTCTTTCAGTGTTCCTTCCCCCTGGGCTGGAAGAGATAGAGCACACGAGGAAAATCTGTTTTGCTGAATTTGCCTTTGCTAAGGATGTGTTTATGGGATACTGCTATATTGGAACAGTTGATGATTAGCAATTAAATAATATATTAGTTAAAGTATTTCAACAGAGTTAAAGTTTACCAGTTTTATTTTTATTTGTATTTTAACTGTGTTGTAAGAATAAAGTCTGTTTTGCTTTATTGAATCACATCTGGAATACAGTGCCTTAAATAATAAAATAAAAAGTTAGGGTCTAGGGTATTTCCTGGATATATTTTGAAGGGGTTTGGTTTGGTTTGGTCTGGTCTGTAACAATAGATAGTACACAAGTTGAGTACTGATCAAAAGAGATATTGTTGAAGCTTTTCTTCTTGCACTCACCAGGAGAGAAACACAAGAATGTCAGATTTCGAAAGAAATGACAATTTATACTGCAGGAGTTACTAGGTGTGGATTGTTGACAAAGGGCCTGTGACCGGTCAAGGTGTGGCCAAAGAGAATGGACCAGGGAACACTTCCTCCAAAGCTTTTGGTTAAATTCAAGATTTCAATTCTGATTGGGAATGCACCAGTGATTAGTGTCCCTAAAACTTTGTTTAACTGAAAAGGTACAATGCCTGGACAAATTTAAAAATCATTTTTCCTGCAGTGAAAGTCCATGTCTATAAATGTAACTTCTAGAACGTGCAAGTGAGTAATGGAAAAGTCGAATGAACCGCCTTTCCTCAGTGTGCTCCCTGAAAAATCTGATAGCATATTCTCCACTATTGTGTATCACAGGTTTCAGGGACACATTTCCTGCTGCATTCTCCGTATCGTATCTTGACTCAGAGGGGGTGATAGAAAGTTGGAGTTTTGGGGAGGGGGGTTTGGGAGTCTGGTTCTCTGCTCTCACCTCCTTGCTGAAGTGCAGTTCTCCCATCAGATTCCCAGCAAGGCCACTGTGGCCCCGGGACTCAATTTCTCCCTGAAGCTCCAGCATCAGCCACTCAGGAGCAGAACCATCCCCAAGGCTGAAAACAAATTGAAACGTGGAAAGTTAGGGTTAGCCGAGAGAGAGAGGGCGTGGGAGTTGGAGAATGTTAGGAAAGAGAGCTGGTGAATGTGAGAAAGGGTTAAAGGTTTAGGGGCTGGTTTGGAGGGTAAGAGAAGGGGAAGGGAGGCTGAGGTGGGAGGGTAAGAGAAAGATGGATGATGGGAAGGAAGGGAAGAGGGGAATGAGGGAGGCACGGGAGGGGGAGGAACGAGGGAGATGGAATGAGGGAGGCGGAGGGAGGGGGAGGACCGAGGAAGGGACGGGTAAGTGAGAAGGAGGCAAGGGGAGAAATGATGGAGGGAGGGGGAAGAATGAGGGATGGAGGGAGGAGAGAGTGGTAAGAATGAGGGAGGGACAGGGAGGAATGATGAAGAGGAATCAGGGAGATAGGAAGGGGGAGGAATGAGGGAGCAGGAATGAGGCAGGGAGGGAGGAAAGACTCCTTTTAGAAAATCAGATGACAACGCTGTGCTCCTCCTCTTGGCGTACAAGCAGCAATTGAAACAGGAGGACACAGTACAGAAAGTAATACAGTGCTGGTCTGAGGCAGCTGAAGAGCATCCATGGGACTGCTTAGAATTGGTGGACTGCTCCATATTCAGCAGGCAGCCTAAACAAGTATGCCACTACCATTAGAGACTTCATTAGCAAGTGTGTAGAAGACTACACGCCAGAGGAGTTAATCTGAATGTTCCCCAACTGGAAACCATGGATGGACCGGGACATGTATCGCCTACTGAAGTCCAGGTGTGTGGTATTCAAGTCAGATGCTCCTGACCTTTAGAGGAAATTCACATACGACCTCCATAAGGCTATTAGTGATGTCAAGTGGCAGTACTGGACTAAGCTAGAGACCCAATATACTAACCACATGCTGTTTGTGACAAGGCCTATGTAACGTAATGGGCTACAAAGCAAAGCAGAACAGAACAGTGGACAAAATATGTCCCTTCTTGCTGTGTTCAATGCATTTTACGCTTGTTTCAAACAGAATGTCAGTGAAACGGCGTCATCTGTCCCGATAGCTTTGGAAGCACCTGTTCCCTCAGTCATCGCTACAGACGTCAGATCGGCCTTCTTCAGAGGGAAACCACAGAAAGCGACTGTCCCAGAAGGAGTCCTCAGTCGTGCACTCAGATCCTGTGCGTACCAGCTGGCAGGAATATTTGCTAACATCTTTAACCTCTCCTTACAAAGATCTGAAGTCCCTACCTGCTTCAAGACGACCACTATCATCCCATTACCAAAGAAAACTCATGCAGTGTGCCTCAATGACTACTGCCCAGTGGGCTCTGACCTCCATAATTATGAAGTGCTTCAAGGGTGTAGTCATGGCTCATATCAACTCCAGCCTCCCAACATACCTTGATCCTTTGCAATTCGCCTACCATCACAGCTGGTCCATAGAAGATGCCATTTCCCTGCCCCTACACTCACCCTTGCAACATCTGGAAAGACAAGAATACCTACATCAGTCTCCAATTTATTGACTACAACTCCGTCTTCAACACTATAATTCCAAACAAACTAATCTCCAAATTCCGAGAGCTAAATCTCTGTTCCACCCTCTGCAACTGGATCCTTGACTTTCTGACGCACAGACCACAA